TTTTTTGTGAAAATAGTTCATAAACAGAGTTGACCCTTTAAGAAACAGAATTGTAAAGTAACAGAATTGTCTGATGGACTGTCAACTCTGTTACTGAACTGTCAGCATTGTTACTCTAACATGGTAACAGAGTTTGACGGTAACAGAATTGACAATTTTCTTTATTTTTTGCCAAAAACTCCACTTGCGAGCATAAATGCTAAGAGCACATGGCACTAATGAAATCATGATTAAAAGACTTTTAAATAACACAAAGTGTGATCAATGAAAAAATCTGTTTTCCTTTTGATATTGTGGTAACAGATTTGACATTTTATAAAATAACTCTTGGTGTAAGAGCTTTTTAGATTAAAATATTTTCTTAGAGAGAGCACATAGACTTTTCAGTGCTTCAGATCTTAACAGGGAGGGAACGTGACATAATTTCCTGTATGTACATAGTTGTGGGAGATAGTTCCACTCATTTACAGCCAAAGTATGGTACGGTAACAGAGTTGACAAGATTTACAGACACACATTTTTATAAGAAAAAGTTTTTTGTTTTTTTTATAATGTTGTAGAATTAGGAAAATGACTCTTTAGGGCTTTTATAAATAAAATGAATTAAATATTACAAAAAGAAAAGTTCAATAAAATATTTTGATTATACAATGATACATCATGGAAAAATGCACTGACTAATTTGGACGACAAGAAATCATGATTTTCAGCTATTTAAGACACTTTTTGCAAAAAAATATTATATTGTTATGGACTGTAACATCTTGTAATTCAGAGAAATGATTAACACAGTATTAAAATAATTAAAAATATAACCATTTGAAAAAAGCAGAAAAAAAATAATGACTTTGGACACCAAATGTACCTGCAATTATAGAATCACTCGCATACCTGCACTGTTCTCTCAGGGTTTGGTATACTGTTTTTTTGTTTTGTTTACCCTGCTATACTTCCCAGAGGGCTTTCTCATTAGAACCAAACTCTGACTCATCCGCTCCTGCTTCAGGCATGTAACACAGACACAGTCTTTGTGAATGCATGTCAGAGTGACAATCCTGTCAGCTGGCAGAGCTGCTTATGCAGCAGAAAACGACTGTGGGAGCCAAAAGGAAAGCTCTTGAGGGCATGGAGGTTTGGGCTGCAATCTGCTGCTGCAAAGTCAGCATTTACCTGTGCATGTCCAGCACTAACCTCAGCCACATGATTACGCAGGGAAAGAAGATCTGTTCCAAAACCTAGTGAGCTGCCTGTTCAGACAGTATTTAAGACATCGGCGCACTCTTAAATACGAATTCTGGCCAAATGTAAAGGTGCATTCAGTTGGCATCAGCATTGCACAATGCAGTTAAATGCTATCAGCATGAGTTATGTAAATTAGTTACACTAGTGAGATAATCAATCCCTTACCTGTAACAAAAAGAAGCAACTTGAGCGTCACTACTCAGGATTTTCGCACTACAACACTAGCGAATCTCCGACGTTCAGTCAAACACCGCCGGTGACGTCATTTCAACATGGAGCACAGTCTTCATCTCATTCTACACAATACAGATGACACTTAACAAAAACCGTTTATTTCTTAATGTGTAAACTTTTTAAATTAGCACCAAACTACTGAATTGGCCCTGTTTACACCTGGTAAGATGCGTTTTCGTGGATCCGATCACAAGTGGACAACGCAGGTACAGGTGTGAACGGGGTCTAAAACGTTTTGAGCTTGTCCACTTTCGAGCACTTCTAGACGCTCATGTGGTCTCTGCTCATTCTCAAACATTCATGCGTTCATTTCATTTCCCACCGTTAACCGACAAGATTAGAATATTCAATTCGATTTAAATTAAATCACAATGGATAAGTGTATGAGTTATTCTATAATTGCAGGTACATTTGGTGTCCGGAGTCATTATTTTTTTCAGCTTTTTTCAAATGGTTATATTTTTAATTATTTTAATACTGTGCTACTCATTTATATGAATTACAAGATGTTACAGTCCATAACAATATAATATTTTTTTGCAAAAAGTGTCTTAAATAGCTGAAAATCACGATTTTGTTGTCCGAATTAGTCAGTGCATTTTTCCATCGTGTATCATTGTATAATCAAAATATTTTATTGTACTTTTCTTTTGGTAATATTTCATTCATTTTATTTATAAAAACCCTAAAGAGTCATTTTCCTAATTCTACAACATTATATAAAAAAAAAAACTTTTTTCTTTTAAAAATGTGTGTCCGTAAATCTTGGGTCAACTCTGTTACCGTACCATACTTTGGCTGTAAATGAGTGGAATTATCTCCCACAACTATGTACATACAAGAAATTATGTCACGTTCCCTCCCTGTTAAGATCTGAAGCACTGAAAAGTCTATGGGCTCTCTCTAAGAAAATATTTTAATCTAAAAAGCTCTTACACCAAGAGTTATTTTATAAAATGTCAAATCTGTTACTACAATATCAAAAGGAAAACAGATTTTTTCATTGATCACACTTTGTGTTATTTAAAAGTCTTTTAATCATGATTTCATTAGTGCCCTGTGCTCTTAGCATTTATGCTCGCAAGTGGAGTTTTTGGCAAAAAATAAAGAAAATTGTCAATTCTGTTACCGTCAAACTCTGTTACCATGTTAGAGTAACAATGCTGACAGTGCAGTAACAGAGTTGACAGTCCATCAGACAATTCTGTTACTTTACAATTCTGTTACTTAAAGGGTCAACTCTGTTTATGAACTATTTTCACAAAAAACAGTAAAATTGTTGTTTAAAATCTAATAAACATTATTGATTTATTTTTACAGCCTTATAATATTTCAACAACATTTCTTTTTTTAACTGGATATTGTATATAATACATTTTCAGATGAAAAAATATTTGCTCCAAGTGGACGGTTCTGTGAAGACA